TGGCATCAGAGAGGCCCGAGGGGCAATTGCCCCCCTGCCCCCCGGCCCAGTCCCCCCCTGACCTCCCATGACCCTAAAGAGAACTGTGGTGAAAAAGACATACCCCATAGTTCTCTTTTAGGCTTCATCAGATAACATTATGTTCAATACATCCGTAACAACAATATACATTGTGGTAACTGGTACACAATTTCTTGTTTCCTAATAACAAAAGAACATCAGAAACTTAATTCTTTGGCACCGCTATATGCATGTCTTCAATGTGTATTGGATGGCTATTTTGTAATCTGCACAAAGCAGGGTATTAGTGTCTAAGCTAAGGTTCCTTTCAGCTTCCTGTATGATTCAGAATTTTGATCCTGTATGCTTCAGTTGTGATTGCTCCTCTGATTTGGCCCCACCATATCCTTACATCCCCTAGCCTATCTGCCGCTTGCTCTGACCTTCTGTCTAGTTGCTTGACTATACTGGTCTATATTATATGGTTCCTTGCCTGTTCTCATGTCTACTGACTTGATATCACCAGTGGGGATAAGCCAAGGGTCCCAAGCTGTGAGTTCACATATCTTGCCCCATACCACCCTACAGGTACAACAATGCTTATACACATATAGTATAAAGCGTGAATTGCAAAATGGGTTGCAGAGAGCTGGAACACTCATGAATAATTGCAACAGCAAGATCAAGAGAAAGATGTATAGCCATAAAGAAAAACTATGCTAAACCCATTCTGTATCTATAATTGCAAAATAATTACAATACATTTTTAGAAAATCAACATCTCTTTTTTTGTGAAAAAATGCTTTTTATAGTGCCACCATGCTGCTAAGTATCACATAGTGTACCTTTATAGAAATTTGTATTAAATATCTCTTTATATTTTTGTAATAATAAACCCTGCAATCAAATTGAGTTGGCATGTTTTTTCAGTAACACTACAAAGCCCCATAGCTTATTCTCTCAATTCAACTGCATTGTATGTAGTTTAGAAAATACAAAAAGAGAAAAAGGCTGTCCTAAATGAATAACAGGATTGAAAAGAATAACTAGTTATCTCCATTGTTTTTTATGTGCAGCCACTTCTCAACAATTACTATGGAGTGTACAGTACTTAATTTTTCACATGACTGTATGTGTCTATATATCAAGGTCTAAGAGACATCACCACTAACACCATATACAGACAGAACCACTCTTTGGTTGGTCCTCTTGAAGAACTGATGATATGCTCATATGTATCCACAAATTGATGTCTACTATACAAACAGTAGTTATAGACATTTGCTGATTTAAGACAATTTAAGTAAATATAATATTTTCTTCAATCAGAATATGGCATGTGATTCACACCAATCAATTTAGAATCTCAGGCTGACCTGGGTTGTTCTCCTGAGATAATCAAAAGCTGAGGCACCACTAGGGACTGTCTGTGTACGTATGCACGGTAACTGTAGGAAAATACATTGTTCCACAATTTATTCATGTTTGCAAATTGTATTGACTTCAGAGTGGCCAGCGTACATTTCTAACTACTGCAAGCTAGAAATCTCATTCCAAGTGTGAATCCAAAAGGCAATACATATTTAAATATTCATAGAGGGCAGTATTGTGCAGTGTACATGTATTTGATGTCCCCTATTAGTGTAAGATTACTGATTGATAATAATAATATGGCAATATGCAGCATCTCCTTTATTTTCAGTTAATTGTTAGACTGTATAGGTCACTGGTACCTCTGCATTCCAACAAGATGCATGGTGCCTCCATCACGGTATTATAGGTTCAATGCTCACTGTAAAAATTACATTAGGGTGTCATCATTTACACTTGCCTAGAGCAGCGTTTTTCAACCACTGTGCCGCGGCACACTAGTGTGCCGTGAGATATTTTCTGGTGTGCCGTCAATAAATCGTTAATTTCTTTGATCGATCAAAATTATTTTGATCGATCAAAGTTACTCACCTCTCCGCCGGCTTCCGGGTCTTCCGTCGGAGATCCGGTGACGTCACGGACATCGTCGTCACCGGACTCCTCCCCCCTTCCCCGAGTGGCTCTGTCGGCTAACGAAGGGAAGGGGGGAGGAGTCGGGTGATGTAGTTGTCCGTGATGGGTAACGAAGGGAAGGAGGGAGGAGTCACCTATTCAAGAGAATTACTTTATATATAGTCAATATAGGCACAGAGGTAAAAAATTTTAACATTTTCTAATGGTGGTGTGCCTCGTGATTTTTTTCATGAAAAAAGTGTGCCTTTGCACAAAAAAGGTTGAAAAACACTGGCCTAGAGCAAAATTACCACTGTATACAGGTTTGGAGATATTATACTGTTGATTTTTACAAGGCATTGAAGTGTCAATAGACAAATCAAAGCTGAACTCCAGGTGATCATAAAGAAAATATGCTTAAAATGGACCTAACATCAGATAATTATTTTGCATTTGGTAAATGCATGCTAGGTAATCTGTATTTGAATATATTATTTATTATATTTCCCAGAGATCACAGTACTAGTTTATTGATCATTACATTCAGTAAAAAAGGCCAATGCATTCTAGGAGGTTCCGAGGGGCCCCTTCATCGGGGCTTAGAAATGCTGAATGAGCTGAAAGCTGGCACACAGTCAATGTCATTCTCAGAAAGATATTTGGGCATGTAGGACTTCACACTAGCAGCCACATTGGAAAGCAGCCACTGGTATGTGCTGTGTTCGTAAAATGTGCTGATCTGCTGAAAACAACGCGTTGCATTGTAACCTTGTTTTCCCTGAACTTTATTGAAATGTCTCCAAGTGACATTTCATCCAGTTCTATTAACCACTGTGATGCGTTGTACGATGTTGTAACACACTGCGGTACAAAATGTACTTATGTCAGCGCCCTCCACGCAAATGCACATTTTTCCTTAAATATGCGTTAGAGCTGCTCTGAGTCATCCATTATAGGCCTAATAAAGTGGGCCTCTTGGGACCCCCAAATGTTTTTTTTTAACTGATAGTATTGATACATATTCATGATCTGGGCAAACATCTTCTGAACTGGTTCTCTCCTTCTTATTTCTCTACAATGTCAGTACAAGGCTCCTGTATTCCAGAGAGCAGTCTGTGGAATTATTCACGTGGCAGGGGCACACACTTATCCAATTAGGACCTTATCATTAGTAAGTGATCCAGTGCTCCTGGCCTCTACTATTCTGCATTTTCTCCATAAGGAGGGGTCATCCAAATCATCATCTATTGGACTGAGATGCAGGCTCCAAGATAGGACAATCATGTAAATCCTAGGCCCTGTGCAGTTTTTGGCTGTGTTTACAAAGTTCTGACACAGATAAGCCCCTGCTGCAGCCTCTCACCTTGTAAATTGCTACAAAGATACAATGTTGTAGTTTGGTCAGTGGGGGAGAAGAGGCTGAAGAAATGCTTCTACTGTCTGCAGCAGACTGATGGCATCATGCCATTCTTGACGAAGTCACTGATCTGAACTGCTTTATAATAAAAAGGTAGAGCTTTTTGACAAATTTACTGTTGCTGTGTATTGTGACATGTCAGGAATTTATTCTTGTAAAGTTACTGAAAGCTCCACGTTACTGCAGTTATATATTCATTGATACAGTAATTAATTAAATGTATAAATAATAACTGAAGTAATGTGCACAGCAGTACTTATATTAAAGGTCAGTAAAGTCAGCAAGCCAGGCTCTATTTCACAGTGCTGTCAGTCTAACACAAATAATTTGTTGAACTACTTGCCGTCCAACCATTGTAATTATCAGCCGCACGACAGCTTCCCTGTAGCAGGTCACCATAAATATACGGCGTGCACATGACATGGGAGCGGGAATTGAACATCGCTTACAGCCGGCAATGGCTGTTTACATACAAGCATTCAGGTGGCTAGCTGCCTGATCGCTTGTATGGCGCGTGCAAGTGTGTGGCCCCCTCCACTGCCGGCTATCCTTGGCTCCGCTATCCTGCTTGCGGGACCGGGACCAGTACAGCAGCTCTGTAACTCGATTGAAGGGAGATCATCACACTTCCACCGGCTGATCTCCCCTTCGATCACTCCGAAGCACCCAGTGTTGATTAAATACCACCAAAAGAAAGCTCTGTCTGTCCCAGAAAAATAACATAACATTAATTTCGGTACAGTGTTGTATGGCTGAATAAATATCAGTCAAAGTACCTCAGCACTGAATACTGAAAAATGGCCTGGACAGGAAGGGTGTTTAACACCCTGATCTTCATGTGGTTAAGAAGAACTAATAGGTGAATAATGATACACCGCGCTATTAATTAATATCTAAAACTGATGACCTCCACTAGTACTTCCTGCAGGTATAACCTCCCACTAGGGACTAGGTTCAGGCACGTACTGAGGTTACCCCTGCAGGAAGTACTAGTGGAGGTCATCAGTTCTGACTCCGCTACTAAGAATCCGTCGACTGTTTGTTTGCTACATGCTTATACACTATGGCCATCTTGTAAGTGTTTCTTTCTATCCCTTATTAAACTTGATGTGATGTACTTCACTATTGGAGTTCTTTCTTTTGTGGGTACAGTGATGGTCACTGTTCTGTTTATCTGAGGATCGCTCGTCATCTCCTTGTTTGCACTGCCTGCCATTCTGATATATATGAATCATTGAGAGATCTGGATACATTTGCCTAATATTTTGGAGGAATTGCTTGAAGGATCCTTTTGGACCAGATGATTTTTATAAAGATTACTTATTATCCTCTTATAGAAACTGCTCACAGTTTGTTTTTTTTGTTTGTTTTTTAGGAATTATTGTAATCGTATGTCTTATTTGTTTGATGAGTGGATTTTTTTCAACGAACACTGTGGATGATTTTGTCACTTTCTATATGGACATGTATGAGAATTTTTATATTATGGATTATTAGTTTTGTTTTTTTACACTACCTGGTTACATTGTTTTTTATGCTCTAGTGCAAATGTTTTCTATTTTTCATATTTATTATTAGCACAATTCCTTTAGGATTATTCATTTGCATTTTAGATTAAATTAAAAGCACGGTGTATCATTATTCACCTATTATCACTTTATTATCACTGCAGCTTGCCCACTTTAGGAATGTATTTATCGTTAGTTCTACTACTAGTGCGGTGTACCACCTTTATCCGGTTAAGAAGAACTCCAGGAGTTTTAAAAACTTGCCATTGCAGTGGGACTACCCCCACACTGCAAGGGTTAAAAGCTTGTTTTGTCTAGAGGAATGAAAAATATATACACATATATATATATATATATAAATATATATATTTATTTATATACAAATATTTTGACAGATAAAACAGTTACATTATCAGTCTATCCAAACGTATATTTCAGTTTTTGGTAGACGTTAGGAAAGTAAACTATCTAGTCAGTTTTATATAGCTCATGGCTGGACTCTCCAAGAGATATCAGAAATCTATGAGCGACCCAACTCCACGTAAATAGCAGTTTTAGTGGACTGACCCTTTAGCATAATATATGTGTGTTTAGCTATTTGTTGGTAGTTCAGCTTATAACCACTTTGCCTCAAAATGTAGTCTTACCCTTTTCATTGCTGTGTATGGTCACATCCATCTTGGGCCGTAGAGAGTCTTCATGTGTTTGGTCATTTTCTTTATTATGGTGTTCGGAGCTGTTGTGTTTCTCATAGATCTGATGTTCTAGGACACTGATCTTCTTTTGTAAGGTATCTCTCAGTGAAGTTGAAAACAGAGAAGAGTTTCTACTTCCCTGAAAAACAGCAAAAACATCTCAGATGCAGATTATACCCTAATGACCTTTTCAGTGTGAACGAGCAAGAGCAGGGCCCTCGAGCCGAGGAATAGCCAAAACAACATGATTTAGATTCTTATGAGGCTCACCTATATTTCATACAACAATATATTTCACTTCTTTAGGTAATAAATAAAAGTAGGTATATTTTGTACTTGTAATCGTATCAGAAGTTTAAAGAGAAAATTACAGGAGGAAGGGGAGATGTATGGGAAAAAGAAGTGCTGCCTATTTTCCAAATAATGTAATATAAACACACAGCTGGTAGATGAAGCGTAGATTCTCACTGTTTATCATTTCTACCCGTTTGTCCCTCTTTTGGTCTAAAATATAGACCACTATTAAAAATATATTACTTAACTAGAAAAAGTGTAATACTTTTTACAATTATTATTTGAAAACCAATATAACAAAAAGTAGGGGTGGAAAAAAAAGCACTCAAATCAATCATTAGTATTAATTCTTCATGGTCCATGTAACTAGGGATCATGCGTGTGCCTACATACTTTTGTAAGTTGGAAAACCAGCTATGGTGGAGCTTTCTAAACTCATAGATCCAGGAGTGAATTAACTCTCTACACTGCCTGTAGTTATGCCTTGAAATCACAGAAAAGGTAATTAATCCTTTTAAAAAGTATGTCTGAATAATCATTATCACCAAATGCCACCAAATAGCATGTTCAGTGTCATATTTTGTTGCATCAGTTTCTTCTGGTGCTGGAATCTAGGTGCTGCATGGATGGTTTTAGTGCAGGAACAGGTAAGCATCCAGCATAACAGGGGGTTATAAGTGTTGGGGCTAGTTAAGTGTATGACTTAGGCTTTGAGTGTTTTAGGGGTGTTAAGAGCTCATTACACTGTAGGTGTAAGTTTAAGTGTTAGGGTTACAAAGATTACGTGTAAAGAAACAGGTTTAAGTGTGTCAAAAGTTAAATCTTTTAGATAGAGTAGGGAATGGTTAGAACCCCTAATAAGGTTTTATTTGCTAACTGGAGACCATACAGGCAGTAAAAGAGAGATCTCTCTAGATCGCTTGAATACATAAAGAGGACAAATCACCCCAACAGCGAAACAGATATTGATGTCAGAGCTTTAGATATAGCTAAAAGCCAAACTAAACTTTTAGATCAGATAAATACATTCCAGATGCATCAAAACAGAAAGCGTGCAAAGTCTTAACGTTTAATTTAAAATTAGGAAAGCTTATCCCCTATCAGCCTGGAGCAGAGAAAGATCCTTGCTCTCTGTGTGGAAGCAGTGGTTTCTCTGCAGAGGTCAGACAAGCCCCCTGCTGCGTCAGAGCTAGAGCTCTCCATTCAACAGGGAGCATATGTCTTGTGTACTGTAGGTCTGCAATCTGTTTTTCCCATCACTTTCTGTCCTGCTGACAATGATAACCAGGATAAATAGAGAGGGAAATCTCTTCAATGGGGACATAAACAGCAATAAAAAAACTCACAGGGGTTGTAACCCTCCAATACTTTATCCAAAGCTATAAAAAATTGGGGGCTTCAGACCTACCTTAAAGCCAAACTGAACTTTTTTAGATCAGGTGAAATCTTTCAAGGAGCATTGAAACAGAAGGTACAAAAACAGGTACAAACCATCTATAGTCCTATGGAACAATGGTGAGGACATTTGTGACTAATGCTACAGACTCTGGCTGAATCCAGCACCCATTGTTCTTATGTTTTTTTCCTTATCTTTCCTTATCATCCTTTATGGCATACCTTTCTCTAGCATCCAGTCTGTGCCACCATGGTTGATGTCAGAAAACGATTCAAGCATTACACAGCCTTCAGATTGTCCACAAATGCTGAGGCGGCTGTATATCATTAACAATCCCCTGCATGAATACTTGAAACAAGTGAATTATACCATGTGACTGCACAAATGAACACTGCATAGGCTTACAGAGTTGATAGAAAAAATTAGATTCAATATCGATTTAATGTTTACATTGAAATGGTTATGTCAGTGCTCATAGAAAAATAAGATTTACTAGTAGAATTTAGCTGTTGTTTAATGTGTATGTAAACCCTAACATGGAACTTCTCTTATTTGCATACTTTTGATTTGATAAATATACCACTGAAACCTTTGGTTATAAATATTCGATAAGTGCAAAAAAAAATCTGTATATCATGTCAGAAATTCAGCGCTGCCCTATGTCCTGTGCACACTTCCTGTGTTATATCAAGGTGTGTAATTAGCCCTCCTAGTTCTTATCTCAGACTACAAAGCAATTAGTCCTCATGATGCTTTGATAAGAAGAGTGAGAAGGGTTTATCAGCTTAAATCAAAGAAAACTGGGCATGGCTGGCACCAGGTTCTGCAGTTTGAATCTACAAAAGGACACGTGGTGTCATTCCATTAGAGGAAATGAGAACTGAGTGCATTTCTGGCAGTTCAACAGTTCATTTTTTTGTCATTGCAGGGTCTTTAAATGGATACAATATAGGGAATCAGGCATGTATGACAGAGATGTACTTTTATAAACATACAAACATGTGTTTTATTTTAAATTTGGATTGACATACACTTTAAGGCAACACATTTCAGCTGCCTGTGTTCCATTGTAACCTTTGCTGTTTTTCTGAAAATGAATTTCCTGGTTTATATCACAAAAGCACTAAAGAATGAAAAGTGTAAAAGTTCAAAACGGTTTATATAGCTGCGAGCTGTGAAGTAAACATTTATGATAAGGCAGAAATTTACCATTTAAATAATTTTTGCAAGAGTCATAAAGGAAGTGTGCAAAAATATGCCCCACTGATTTGCAGATTATGCTTTCCTATAGTATAAGGTGTCAATAGGAAATTCCAAACTACACCTAAAAGATGGAATTTCCATGACAATTTTGAAATACATTAGTCACAGAAAAAGTTTTTTGCCGTTACATTCTTTCTTTAAAATAATGTAAAAAAATTGAAAGTTTATTACAGCTGCGCTTTATTTATAACATAAAACCCACAACAACCAATCTGATGAAAGAATGGATTACTGGCTATTGTTTTCTGCACTTAGCTCACCATCTTAGCTATTTGCATGAACAAATAAGCCAGCATATTCCATGAGCTGTAATTAGCCTGGAGTTATACAGCTAATTGATAGAAGGGATTTGTACATGGCCCTGTCAGCTCGATAATAAAATAAAAGCATATGCTTCCTGCAAAAGAAGACTTTCAAAAGCTTATCTGTCCCGCTGTCCCCACTGCTGTTCTACCCTGTACTCCTGAGATACCCTGTCTGAAGACTCTTTAGCATCCAGCACACTTCTGAATGTGTCAGATGCATCATCCCTTGCTGTGGTTCTTTCTGGCAACCCCAATGTGACTACTGTGTTCTGTAGTGACTTGGGGGTCAGCGGGAGGAACCAAAGAGCGCAGAATGGTAACAGGCATCTAACACTTGTGTCGGATGCAGAACACACTTCAGACAGCGCTATCTCAGGAATACCAAAGAGAACAAGAGTGCAGACAGGGGGACAGGTAAGTCTTAAAAAAAACGTATTTTCCAGGAAAAATATGCTTTTTCTTTATACACTGAGGTGACAGATTTTCTTCAAAGTAAACTTGTGCTTTGTCCTTTTCATTCCATTCAGTTGCCAGTAGCAGAAGAGAATGGAAACCCCTGTGTATGCTCCAAGTTGCTTACAGTGGAGTTTACACTGTGCTGAAAATGTTCTCCTCACCCTGATGTGCTAGCACTGGGTACCTGAGCGACCAGTCGCCAAGCAGCAGCACTGCTACATGGGAGAATGAGAGTAAGTAACAAGCACCCTGTCCCGGGAAATACCAGTTATTTCTCTTTGCTCCTGGCTGTTAAACACAACCATGGTGGTGCAAAGGAAAGTTAAATATGTGTTGCTGGAGAGGGGGCAGTTGGTTGAAACTGTTAGTTTACCCGATATGGACAAAGGAAAGGTTTGTATAAAGGCTTTGAAATACCAGTTAAAATACAAATTTTTCAGTTGGGGAATACCACTATTCATTGTTGCATCACAACAGTAAGGAACTGTTCTAATTCACAGTCAATCAGTATGTGTAGACTCAGAACGCTCTAATGCATTTATGTGGTCAGAAAGGCTGCACATACCATATTGAGGTCTGGGTGCACCGATGATGCAGTCAGCCATTATGACCATATGTATGGCTATGCATATTTCCGTTATCATTTAAATAAATTAGACATGAGTTTGGATACTTGCTACCTGCATATTATCCACATTTAACCATGGTGTAATGTACACACTGCACTGTGACCACACTGAGGGAGGTAAGTGTATATACACAGTAATACTACTTCTGATTAACTTTCACAATACATTCTCTCACTCATTTACTTTTCACATTCAAACGATGATAAATAAAAACTTGAATTAATTATTAGTTATATTAGCTATAACCATGACAATTTTATTATCAATTTAAAAATAATCTCATACTATATTAATACATTTACCTTAGATATTGCAGGCACTCAATGCAAAAGTTCACTTTAAAGAGTTAACTATTTATTATTACCTGTTAGCTACTTCCTTTTTCAACTATTCTCCTGTTTTCCTGTTTTCAGTTCTTACCCGTAAAAGAGAAGAGCATTAAACTTTTTTTTTATTTTGGATAGAGCTGGAAACATTAGAAGCCCTTAGGACTTTTCCCTGCTGTCTGGGGCTCTTTTAGAAAAAACCCCTAAATGTCTTTCCCAGTGACAACAGTTTTACCACACTGGAAAATTATGGAAAATCGGCAACAGAGACAGACAGAAATAAAAACCAACAGAGGTTTTTCTGTTTCCCTTCTAAAAAAAGTGTTTTTATTTGTGTGTTGCTGTTGGATGTTTATTTCACTTCCTGTCTGGTAAAGCCATTGTCACTAGGACAGGGAGTGATGAATCCCCAGAAAGTTTTCAATGCCCACAGGAGTTCTAATTCATCCACACTCGATCTAAAACTATAAAAAACGTTTTTGCTATACATATAACTTACTAATTTACAAAAGTAAACTTGAGTACCTGTAAGTGCTCCAGTCTGTCTTTCAGTGACGCCAGCATTCTTTCCATCTGGGGAATTCCAGGTGGTGTAACCTCTGGTGGGTCTTCCATTGTGTTTGGTGGGGCGCTTGGCTTGCGATAGGAGTCATGTGATGGTTGTTCCCGATATTCTCGGTGGGTGAGATGATGATATTCATGGTCTCTATTATGTGCATGAATATCTTCCTGTCCATGAGGGTGCTCTCTCTCATGGCCATGTTCTCGCTCATATCCATGATCTCTTTCATGCCCATAGTCTCTTTCTTGTCTTTCTTCCAATTCGTGTCCATGCTCTCTCTTGTGTCCATGTTCTCTCTCATGGTGTTCCCATTCATGGCCATGCTCGCGTTCCTGTCCTTCTTCCCATTCTTGACCATGTTCCCTTTTGTGCCCATGCTCTCGTTCATGCCCATGTGCACTTTCATGCCCAATACTTTCTTCATGCCCATGTTCCCTTTCTTGTCCATGTTCAGAGGAATGACCATAACCCTCTTCATGTGTCCTGCTATGAGGGTACCCCTCACAACGGCTAAGTTTGACAGTCAATTCCCTAATGGTCTCCCTCTGATCTAAGATAGTCTCTTTTTGGTGAACTACTGTTTCACGGAGGTGAAGAATAGTTTCTTTGGCTTCTTCCTGCATACCCACCCAATGCCCCCCTCCACCAGAGCTATGACGCTGCACATTAGATTGGCAGTCCATATCCAGAGGCATCGGGGTGCAGACAAATTTTGGAAGAGAGTACTCTCCCCAACATATGTGTACCAATAGGGTAAAGACTGTCAGAAAAAATGCGGAAAGCTTCATTTTTTACCAAAGAAGACACTCCTCTGTAGAAGATGGAATTTCTGTCAGTTGCTCCTTCTCGCTATGCTCAAGTTGTCCTTCTTAATTGGCAAATGACATTCAGAGGATTTAAAAATCTGATTTGCTGTGTTTCAGATGTCACCTCCCTCTTTAACAATGAAATCCTCTTCTATTATTATTTCATACCTATCTGGTTTCAGCAGCCTGGTCTGAAAATGGTATTAGGTAGAAGGCTAATGTTCTTAAATCCCCAGGAGGCCCCTCCTACAATCTCAGTGTCCTACATACAGCAAGAGAAGATCAAAGACTTACTTTAAACATAGCTAATAAAACTCAGAAGGACTTAAAGGAGATGATGCCCTGGTAAACTAGTATTGCCCTGGAATCACTAAAAGACAGTCAGTATTATTCTGTTGGGCTTAATTATCACCAGATACTAGGACTGCAATCTAGTATATCCTACCTAAGTTTAAAACACTTGAAAAAGCAATAAACTGTTTATTTTAACTAAAATTAGGTAGATGTATTTTATGATTCCAGGATTTGCTTCTAGAAGGTTAGATAAGATCCAAATATGCACAATGTTTTTCTTTTTTTAAAAGAACCAATGACTTCTTAAACAAAAGTGCAGGTGTTTAATAAATATTTGTCCTTGCATTTTCTATACACAATGTCAATTTCAACCAAGCAATTATTTAGGATTCTTGGAACAACCTGACCACACACAGGCAGAAAATTATCACAGCAGAAAAACAACAATCAAAAGGTAATTTGGAAGGAATGGAAGAGTATTGTTCTGCACTGATTAGAGTACACCTGTACTGAGAGAGACATGTATGCTGCCGCTGCTGACCTCCCTCTGAATATGATGGTTACCTGACAAGGATGCGAGACCAGGGTCGTCATGATGTCATTGCGCACGTGCGGCAGTATTCTGATACCTGCCGGCGGCCATCTTGATGATGGATGCCGGCAGAGAGAGGAGGGGACAGTCACCCGGCGGGATAAGGTATGCTGCCGGGTCCCCTCCTCTCTCCTGACACTGTCGGGCGTTCGGTCCATGAACGAGCGCCCGACTTTTCAGAGGGGGGTGACTGAGTAATTTTGGGGTCACCCCTCCAATGGTGTCACCCGGGTGCGGGCCGCACCCCCCTTGTGACGCCACTGTGCCAGACCACTAGCATTTTTAGAAGCAGATGTCAGAAAGTGGTTCTTCAGTACAGGATCATTGAAAACTGATATTTTAACTTTTGACATGCTGGAAATGAAACTAACTAACATTTTTAAAATATCTTTTGGGATCTCTGTGGGCGAGAACTTGAGGTCATAGGTCTGCACACCAGCTATGTTCATTATAGGGGTTTTCCACTCTACCTGTTGTTTTCATAAAACCAGAATGCAATGGTTTGCAAATCTCATAAACACATATTTTATTGATAATAGAAAATATAAAACATATCAAATGTTTAAACGGAGAAAATGTACCGTTTTAAAAAACAAATAAGGTCATTTTAAAGTTGATGGCAGCAACACATCTCAAAAAAGTTGTGACAGGGCAACAAAAAGCTGACAAAGTAAGTGGTACTAATAAGAAAGAGCTGGAAGGCGTGGCCGAGATGTGAGACTGAACGGACGTGCTTAACTGCAGCTCCTCTCATCCGTCCAGTCATCCTGCTTCTCAGCGGCACAAATCGGGTCTGCTTTACTCACATTCTCCTCGCAGGGGTCCCGGTGGCAGAAAGAGCTGGAAGAACATTTTGCAACTAATTAGGTAAATTGACAACAGGTCAGTAACAAGATTGGCTATAAAAAGAGCATATCTCAAGGTGCCCATACACCTTACAATTGATCTGCAGATTTTCTGTGGTCATATGGAAAAAGTGCAACAGATTGGCCCAGGTGGAGATTACTCCATCCACACAGTTAAGTGTAGATGGAGGAATCTGTTGCACCTTTTCCATCTGACCACAGAAAATCTGCAGATAAATTGTAAGGTGTGTGGGCAGCTTTAGAGAGTCAGAGGGGTTGATTTACTAACCTTATAAACACACCACGAACATGTATACACCTCTGTAGTGTGTTTCCTCCCAGCATGATCTATGGGTGGAATCTAAACACCTTTTGTAGTGTGTACACACCCAGCAGGTGTGTTGTGCAAAGCCAAGCATGAATTGCAAGGTGATGTTGTGTAAATTAGCTCTATGTTGTGTTGCTTGCGTTGATGAATGCAGGAATGTAAATGCATGCGCTAACCATTTTTGTCTAAACTGTGAAGCAGTATTATATATGCATCATGTGCATGATTTTTCCATATATGGCATTAGTGGAAATATGCTTTTAGAGACTTTTTGGTTGATAAATACGTTTTGCTGTGTGAAAATCACACGCACCTGGTGCGTGCGTGTGTTTAGGTTAGTAAATCACCCCCAGAGTGTCTCAGAAGTAAAGATGGGCAGAGGTTCACCAATCTGTGAAAAACTGCATCTAAAAATTGTCAAACAATTTGACAAAAAAAGAAACAGTTGATCAAGCACATCAGCACTGTCCGAGCACATGCACACCAGCAGCCGTGCAGTTGAGTGCGGCTGATGGTGTGAACAAGCCCTTAAGCAGGAGAGATATGTCTGTCATTGACTGGTCAACTCACTGGGCTCTGCTCCAGGATTTTTCCACTTTTATTAATTTTATGAGTACTCTGCTGTGTTTGAAGTCCTGAAGCCAGCAAAACACTAAGCATATTTGTTATGTACATAACGGTGCATTGTAAATGCTCAGTTTTTTTTTTCTAAAGAAGTGGATGCCATAAGGTCATACCCCCAATTTTAAAAGGGACCCCTTGGAGTACACATAGGTGTAATCTGAGCCGCAAACTTGCCGACTAGCAAAACTTTATTGTTGCATGTATTTTTGTTGAAAAAGTACAAAGCACAAGAATCAAAATTGAAAAAAACCCTCATCTATCCCTACTGTACATATTCCACACATTTAACCGTGCCAATACCTATAAGATCCAAGCCCCCTCTTGGTGCCTAGACTAAAATTTTCTGGACTTGTGGCATAACAACTAGAAATGGGCTGTTTCTTGGCTTCCATGTCTTTACTTCTTTCTCCTTTCTCTTTTCTATTTGTACTCCTTTCTCTCTTCGGTTTTTATCCCTTTCCCTGCTTCATTCAACTAAAATTCACTCATTACTGCTCTGGGCCTTTTACTTATAGGGATCCCAGACAAGAAAAGCAGGGGAGTTACAAGAACACCCTCAAGTACCTTGCAGCATTGGGGATTCTATCATACCTAATTTATCCCAAATTAAGCCATATAGAAAAAAGCTGATACTAGCAAACACCTAGGACAAATGTAATCTTTTTTTTTCTGAAAATAAGGAATTGGTCTTTAACTATCATAACCGTAATTTCATAAATTTGACATGACTGAAATTATGCAATCAATGTAACATTGTTACAAAACTGAAAAATTCCAAAATTAATTAAAATCTAAAGTAAATAAACTTCATGACATTTGAAAAATGAATAACCTCATTGTCAATTAGTGGGCATTAATCAATTAAGTCAGGGGTTCTTAGCTGGAGTTACCAGCACCCCTTGGGGATGTCTGAATCAAATGATGGGGGTACAGTACTGGATCTCAAAATAATTTAAAAAAATGTTGATTTGTTAGATTATTACCTATCACCATCATTGATATGGATTGAGGTGGTAAGGCTAACTAACCAATCTATTATCGCGTCAGTCATCCCTTTTTTGTTTTGCTTTTTGTTATAAGTGGAGTCAAAACAGGAATCAAAGTAGAAAAATACCTTTATGGGGTTAATTTACTAAAGGCAAATAGGCTATTCACTTTGCAAGGGAATTGTTTTCTTAGGTTACATAGTATTTGAGGTTGAATAAAGACATTAGTCCATCAAGTCCAACCTATTAGGATCTCATTAAAATGAATTCTTCTGACTTCCATCATCTAATCATATACAAGCAAAAATATTGATTTGTTTTATTTTCCGTACAGTTAATTGGGTATTCTTTGTAAAATGGATTTTTACCACATTCACAAAGCCAAGTGAAAATGTCCTTGCAAAGTGAACAGCCTATTTGCCTTTACTAAATCTGCTCCATTGTGCCAGATGATATACAAGTAACATTGCCAGTAATCATACTTTGATTTCCTGTTTTGATTGCACAAAAACAACAGCAAACATATCACTAGTAATAGCAAGTTGTTGTTTTTTTGCCATTGTTATATAAATTTAAATATGGCAAAAAACACTCATTAAATGTATTTAATCTGTTCTGTTCCTAGTAAAGGAAGACCAAGCTATTGACAATTGACAAGTCATACTGGTAACTGACAGGTGGTGATACGGAACATAATGGGCAATACATTGGGGTGTGCAGTCGTAAAACAGTTAAGAACCTCTGAATTAAGTGAAACAGAAATATGGATTGTGAAGTACCACTAGACATAGAAAGCCAGTAGTTTGTTAAACTAGCCAGTTACTCAAGTTCAATAAGTGAGCTACCAAACATAGGTCTAAAGAACTGAACGTTTAAAAGGAAGTTAATAGTGTAGATGTAAGAATAAATTAAAAAAAAACTCACCAAAGTTCAGCAAATACTTTAAGTATATCTGTCATATATGGGATGACAGAAACAATTACAGCATAGAAGACTTGGGGTACCAGCAAGAAACCTGGGGCATGGTTCTGAGTGTCGGGGTCTGCCACGCACTTGTAAGATGTGCTCATCTTTTGGTTTTCTTTTAGTCATTTACATGTGTATGGGAGATTAGAGTCCAACAAGAAATACAATATAAAAGCATATCTATATGTGTAACTGTAATGTATTATAAGAGTCCAGTTTATAGCATGAACAAGGTCAGTTCTCCACAGAGAGCTTTATAGTGTCCTCTTCATATGCACCAATGTCTAATGCTTTCCGCAGCTTGAAACAGAACAATTCATGGCCCTGAGGATCTTCAGGAAGGTCAATGTATGTATTCTGCTTGATCAGCTTCCTTAGCTTGTGGTAGGCCGAAAGTCTAGTAAGAAATTGAAGAAAATAATAGGCTGTGAGGATATCTGGCTGTGGAAATAAAAGCTTATATAACACAGTAGTTTTTATCATACAAAGGTCTTATTGGCTTTATAGCTAATTTAATTTTTGAAAGCAAGTCATTATAAAAAAGGACATGGAGGATTATAAATCAGAAAATAAAATAGGTTAGGTCTGTAATTCATATGCACAGATACAATTAAAATTAGTTATTTTTTTAGGACACCCAACACATTTTTGTATCTAGATTATTTTCTAGGAATTAGAAAAATCGGGAGTTCTTTCCTAAAAATTTGGCAAAAATGTTTTCATTTACTCCTTTCATAGACAGCTCTTCATACCTGTCAATCTTTAGGATTATAACCTTGGTGCAACTGGAAGTGATTATACAGTGTACTCAAGTGCAAGAAGGAAGGTGGAGCCTTCACAAAAGATGTAGCAGTCTATGGAATTAAAATCACTCCATCACCTAAAAATGTAAACTGCCATCAGGCTAGGACATCCCTAGAGCTGGGCATCTAGGGCATATGCCTCACATCTCCTGCCAGGTACCCCGGGCCCCAATGCCATCTTTCCCAGCAGATTGCTGCGGGAAATCCATTGGG